GTCGATGATGATGATGATGCTGATGATGATGATGGTGATGATGATGACGATGGTGATGATGATGGTGACGGCGGTGGTGGTGACAGTAATATAAAGAAAACAAAAAAGCACATAATAACAATGATGATGATGATGATGATGATGATGTTGATGCTGATGCTGATGCAGATGCTGATGCTGACAATGAGAATAATACTGATGCTGATGCTCATGCTTGTACTGCCGACGATGATGATTATGCTGATGATGATGATGTTGATGATGCTGATACTGATTGATAACGGTGATGATGATGCTGATGATGCTGATGATGATGCTGATGATGATGGTCATCATCATCATGATGATGATCATGATGATGATCATGATGATGGCGAACGGTCAGCGATCGGACGGATCGCAACCGCTTCTTCAGATTTCCATCGGGGAGCTTAAGGGAGCTCACTGAATCCAGAAGCGCTCTTATGATCACTCCCTTAATCGAAACCTTCTGGAAGAGCCCCCCAAAGCGTCGCAAGCACTTCGGACCGATCGCAAGTGGTTGAGATCGGTCCGAAGAGGTCGACGATCGGTCCGTAGTGGCTGCGATCGGTCATGCTCGCCCCCCTCCCCTCCTCTCGAAGAGCAAGCACTCGGCGCAAGCCTGTAGGCTCCAGCCATCCGAGCGCCGCCACTGGCGCGCGGACCGCGCGCCAGGGAGGGAAGGGGGGGGGGCCGCGCAGACCAGGGAAACCTGCGCGGACCTCCGAAGATCTGCGTTCGCGTACGCAGCTCGATGCACTTCTCGACCACGCGCCAGGATGGACCAGGAATCCGCGGATATGGCGCATGGGCGCCAGCTCCAAAGATCGGGAAGGCATACCCCGAAACATCAGACCGTTATCGCCTAATTCGGCGACGGAGCGGGCCGATTCCGCAGGGAAGGCGGGGTCCATCGTTACACCACGCGCCGCAATCCATATCTGCGCTTCCTCCACATTCGATTCCCTCCTCCCTTTTGCCCCTCTCCCTCCTCCACCCCCTTCAAGATCGCGGGCGTACAATGCGGGGGCGTCCAAGAGGGGGGGCGCAAATCATAGCCAGCAGCATGTGCGCGGCCCAAGGGGCGGGCTGGGGAGGCCGAGAAGGCCTCGAGGACGGCCCCAAGGGAAGGCCTAGAGGGGGAGCCCGAACGGACATTTCGAGCTCCCGCCCGCAAGATGCCCCCAAGAGTCCCCAAAAGCTCCCAAGAGTCACCCAGAGAGCGCCAAAGGGCACAAAAAAAGTCCGCAGCCGCCGCCAAGAGGCCCCCAACAGGTTCAAAAACTACCTCCATGACGCTCCCGACGCGCCTGCCACGCGACTCCATCAGCCATCCGAACGGCGTCAAACCCGCAACCCAGGCACGGCGGCGGGGTGTGCCCGAGGCCATGCGATTATCATCCTTCTGGCATTTTGAAAGACGCCCACTGTATGTGGCGAAGGCCATTCGATAATCACTCGTCGGGTGTTTTGACAGATGCCCTCCGTCTGTATACGCGGGTTCTCGCCCCATTCCCCATGCGTGCACGGCGAATAATGCTGAGAATGTCAGCCTTTGGCCCCGAAGAGGCCCCCAAGAGGACCATGAAGTCCCAAAAGAGTTCCAAGAATCCCCCCAAAGGCGCACAAGAGGTCCTCAGGAGCAACACGCGACAACTGCCAGTTTCCCAAGGGGTCAGCGGTGTGGCGTAAGCCCAAGAATCATGGCCAGCAGCACGTGCGCGGCCCGAAGGGAGTACCGGGGACGTAATGAAGTAAGAAGAGGCGCCATGAAATCTGGGGAAATATCATAGCCCCCGCCTTGAGATCCACCCCCCCTAATCATCACCCCGCCCTTGGCCGCTTCCGATAAGACGAACACAGGACCTGGGCCACGTCGGACCGGGACCGATCGGGGATTTCTTCGATCTGGCGGTCCTGGAGGACGCATCGGGCGCCGCGGCCGATCTGGGGGCTGTCCACAGCAATCCTGGAGAGCTGGGGGAACGTTGTGGAACGACTTCAGGGGGACAAGCGATAACGTAAACATTCGAATGAGGGATCGACGACACAATTGGTTCACCCAAACTTGTAATGTCCGTCGAATTGTTCGGGAAAAAAGGACGCATCATGTTCGCATATGTACAAACATTCGACGCTTCTGCACTAGAGTTGACGGACAAACTTTGGGGCAATTAACTTATGCAGTCGATCCCCTACCCGAGGAATAAAAGCTCGGAGGTCCGCGCGGACTTTTCGGATCGGCGCTGGACCCCCCTACCTCGCGCGCGGACCGCGCCAGGGGCGGCGCCGCTGGGGGAGCCCCGCGCCGATCCGAGGAATCCGCGCAGACCCTCGAGTTGGTATGTTTATGTCATTGCTTATTCCCCAAACAGTCCACAACGTTCTGAAAGCGTTGGGCAACACTCTGGGGCGACTTATCCCAGTCCTGGGCCCGCCCGAATCCCTCCGCCCTCTGGCGGGCGCGCGGCCGCCCACCCCCTCACGAGGGCGCTGGACGGGCCGCCTTTTTGGGGCCCTCGCGGAGCTGCATGGCCATGCTGCCGATGCGCCTCCTGGGGCCCCGCATGCCACCTGGCGCTGGGGGGGGTGAGGCGGGGCGACGGAGACCACCAGAGGAAGAATTACTCGACGCGGAGATCCCACGATGTGCATCTCATAAGTCCTGTCTCGCCTCGCTGCAGAAATTTTGTCTGTGAGCATCTGGGTGTGAGAGCGAGTCCGCGTAGACGACAAGCACGACACCGACGACGACGGCGACGACGAAAGCGAAGACTTCAGTGACGTCCTCTTACTCCTCCTCGTCCCCCTCGTCCCTCCTCCTCCTCCTCCTCCTCCTCCTCCTCCTCCTCCTCCTCATCATCATCATCATCATCATCATCATCATCATCATCATCATCATCATCATCATCATCATCATCATCATCATCATCATCATCAGCATCATCATCATCATCATCAGCATCATCATCATCATCATCATCATCATCATCATCATCATCATCATCATCATCATCATCATCATCATCATCATCATCATCATCATCAGCATCATCATCATCATCATCATCATCATCAGCATCATCATCATCATCATCATCATCATCAGCATCATCATCATCATCATCATCAGCAGCATCATCATCATCATCATCATCATCAGCATCATCATCATCAGCATCATCATCATCATCATCTGGACATTTTCCAGGAAAGACGAGGAAAAGAATCAAAGAAACGGCGGCGGCTCCGGTGGCGGCGGCGGCGGCGGCGAGGCCCAGCCGGCGCCCCGCGGGCCCGCCTTGTGGCTGGTCGTGGGCACCGTCGCCGAAGCCCGCGGCGGTGGCCCTCGCCTGGTGCAGCCTGTCGGCGCGCGCGCCGCAGGCTGGCGACGACGACGACGACGACCACCACCACCAACACAACGACGACGACGACGACGACGACGACGACGACGACGACGACGACGACGACGACGACGGCGACGACGACGGCGACGACGACGACGACGGCGGCGGCGGCGGCGGCGGCGGCAGCGACGGCGGCGGCGGCGGCGAGGGACCCTGCAGCTCTGCGCGCTCGCGGGGAGCGCCGATGCTGCTTGCCTAGCCGTCGGCGGCGCTCTCGTCAACATTGCGGGGCGGCGCGAGGAGCGGTCTCTTAGAAGGCAGGGGCCTCCTGAGGAGGGCCCAGAGGCGCCCAAAACAGCTCCTTGGCAGCCAGGGAGACTGCAAAAGAGCTCCCTGCTGTCTGAGAAACTCACCGCCTTCTCACAAGGCCGCCCCCCTTGCGCCACACACCCCTTGCGCGCGCCGCAAACCCTTCCTGCTCATCCTCGGCATCGTGAACATCTTCCCCTAGATCTCTGGGCCTGGGCACGCTCCAACGAGCCTGAGAATGAGCTCGGCGTGATCAGCAAAACCAGCGAGAGGCGGGAGATAATCTTCAGCGGCAACCCTTCCCGGCGACATTCTGAAGCACCACGGGCAGCAGCTTCACGTGGTCGCCAAGAACGGCAGCGCCTCCCAGCACCTGGTTGGCACCGAGTCGCTCTCCACCGACATCCTGAACCGCACGTGCAAGGCCTACGACAACGACAAGATCAGAGCGGCCATCCATGTGCTGACGGATGCCCATGACTAGACAAGCGCATTCCACTACCCGCCAAGTAAATACTCGCAAATGGCATGGATCCGCCATTGGGGATTCACGACACTTTACATCGAGACAGAAATGTGGTTTTCGGACGTAGGCACGCTGCGAGTAGTGGAACGCGCTCGGTGAATGACGAAAGTGGAGTCGGCGAACACCTGGACGAGCTCTCAAGCCAGGGCATGATCAGCATGACCAGCCAGGCCAGCTTCGTATCCAAAATGTTTTGGACTTGATGGGGTCTCAGAGCTAAGGGCATCCAGTAGCTCTTGGCGGAGACGGCGGGAACGTGAGCTCTTGGCGGAGATGGCCTCGGAGGTGTTCTACGAGTGAGGATAGCGTCATTACTTCACAAACGACCAGTTGGAGTAGAGCTGCTACTTCAAGGTCGGGGTTTAGCACACCTCCCTGGGCGATGGTACCACGATGGGTGTTTCCTCCTAGGCGGGGTGTGCCCAAGCCCAGGCTTTGAAGCCAGGCCGCGACCGCGTCCCGCGGGCGCGCGTGGCCGAGTCGCGCAGATCGTGCTGCTCCCTCTCGGCTGTGTGTGTGTGTGTCTTTCCTTGAGTCATCCTCCCTCCCCTCCACCTCCTCTCACCCTCATCCTCCTCGTCCTCCTCCTCCTTCTTTCCGTTTTCCTCCTCCTCTTCCTCCTCCTCTCCCTCCTCACCATCCTCCTCCTCTTCCTCCTCCAACTCCTCCTCCTCCTCCGCCTCCTCCTCATCCTCCTCCTCCTCCTCCTCCTCCTCATCCTCATCATCATCCTCATCCTCATCCTCATCCTCCTCCTCATCCTCATCGTCCTCCTCCTCCTCCTCCTCCTCCTCCTCATCATCATCATCATCATCATCATCATCATCAGCATCATCATCATCATCATCATCATCATCATCATCATCATCAGCAGCAGCATCATCATCCTATGTTCCTTCTCCTTGTAGATAACTTCTCCCTGTCGCACCTCGAGGCCAGTTTTTAGGGCGGGCTGGGCGTTCCGCTTGAGATTTCCTCACCGTTCATGACTCTGAAGTTTTCAAAGATAGAGGGCGGGTGATTTTCAAAATGTGGCTCTCGCCTTAGCGCGGCACACATTCGTTTTCAAACTTTGTACGAAATTCACGGATTGAGGGCGGTTCCTTTTCAATATGAGGCTCCCGCCTTAGCGCCGCGCACATTCGTTTTAAAAAGTTGCAAGAGCTTCACGGATTGAGGGCGGGTCGTTTTCAATGTGTGGCTCTCGCCTTAGAGCTGCTCACAGTCGTGTAAAAATACAACAGTTATAAGGATTGCGGGCGGTTCCTTTTGCAAAATGTGGCTCTCGCCTTAGCGCCGCGCAAATTCGTTTAAACAATGCAAGAGCTTCACGGATTTAGGGCGGGTCGTTTTCAAAATGTGGCTCTCGCCTCGGCGCCGCGCACATTCGTTTAACAAATACAAGAGCTTCACGGATTGAGGGCGGTTCCTTTTCAAAATGTGGCTCTCGCATCAGCGCCGCGCATCTCCGGTCATAAAATGTGCAAGAGTTTCACGGAGTCCCATGGTCAACGTACCAGAGGTGCGTTTTGGAAGGATGCAGGATCATTCTGGTGCAACAGTTATGTTGATTCGCGGTGTGTTGGCATGCTTCAGGGTCTTCAAGGGTGTCTTCCAACGAGGCAGTTCCCTCAATGGAAACGAACCGATGTAGAGGCCTATGAAGGGGGAGCTTGGAAGGAGGGTTAACTCCAACATCGTTGATGACTCTTTGGTTTACACTGGTCCTTCTCCTCCTCCTCCTCCTCCTCCTCCTCCTCCTCCTCTTCCTCTTCCTCTTGCTCCTCCTCCTCCTCCTCGTCATCATCATCCTCCTCCTCCTACCTGGAATTGCCTGCTGAGGTGCTCGACGCGGGGGACGTGGCCGAGGTCAAGGCCATGGTTGCTACACCAGCCTTTGCCAAGTTCCAGGAGCTCCTCAAGGAGCGTTCGGCTGCGACGGCCGCGCGGCGCCCTCCACCCGTTCAGCCTGCAGGTTTGCAACTTTCTGCAAAGGAGGTCGTGTTGAAGGTGGCGTCGGCGTATCAGCCGACGATGGCGATATCGACGACATCGACATGGAGCTCCTGGGGAAGGATTTCGAGGAGAAGCAGAAAGGCCTTCAAGGCGGCAGGCGACCAGCTCCGACCCGCCACTCCTGAACAGCGGGAGGCAGCCAAGCGAAAGCACGCGCAGGCAGCAGCTGCGTTGGGGATGAAGTGCACGAAGCGGGTTGGATGACGACTCGTCTTCTTGGTGGTGCCCAGTGCCAGGTACGCCTTCGAGCTCTGGGAGTTCGGCGCTGACTACGACGGCAGGTGCCCGTGACCACCCCTCCCAGTGTTTTGGCTCTGTCAGCTTTCGGCGTCCTCCTCCTCTACCTCCTCCTCCTCCTCCTCCTCCTCCTCCTCCTCCTCCTCCTCCTCCTCCCCCTCCTCCTCCTCCGAGCTTGAGCCCTCCTTCCCTCTCCCCCTCCTCCTTATCCCCCGACTCCTAATCCCCCTCCTCCTCCTCCTCCTCCTCCTCCACCTCCTCCTCCTCCTCCTCCTAATCCTATGCCTCCTCTCTCTCTCTCTCTCGCGCGCTCCCGGGAGGCAAACTGGTGCGGGGCGCCTCTGCTGTATGCTGCGGAGGCGCTTCTGCCAACGCATGACGCGATTGTAACGCTCGATGGGGTCGGTCTCGTTGCCTCGGTGGCGATCGATCGGTCCCTCAGATCTGTGCGCCGCAGAAGTGTCGCTACGGCAGGGTGGCTCCAAGCATTCTGCCTCACGAGGCCCCCTGCTGGCCCCCAGAAGAAGAAAAACAAATCCGACTCTGAGCGCATGAGCACACATGCCGGAGCCTCACGTAGCCCCGCCGCCAGTGCCGCTTCACAGCAGCACGCCACGCTGCGGCGGAGATGGCGCCGTTCTGAATCAAGAAACTGCCCGGGGTGAGAACCAGCCCTTGGCAGGGAGTCGGAACCTCGGGTGGGCCCGCAGTGGAGATGCACGGCGTCGGACACTCAGCAGACCCCCCCGAAGGAGCAAAAACAAAAAACAAGAAGGCGAAAGACCCCGATCCTCGAGCCTCGAAGGCGTGTGTGCCCACCGTGCCGTGCAGCAACAGGCTGCCTGGGCCTGGCAGCTGCACGGACGGAGGGGGCGGGCCGACCACGCTCTCCGCGCGCGCGCCCTGGCATCCCGGGCCGAGAGGCTCGCTTCGGCACTCCTCCACTGGTGCAGTGGCGCAACGTGTGGTGACCTCACGACCCTCCTGGCCTCGCAACAACCCGAGGAACTGGCGACGGGGCCCAGGCGCCCCTTGTCGTCTGTCCGCAAGCTGCGTAGCAGCCCGCAGCGAGTACCAGAGCTGCGAGCCAAGACGCCACCACTGGACTGGCCCTCGAACAACCAGCGCCAGTTGTGGAGACAAGGCAAAGGCACCGAATAGTCTAGATCCTCGAATCTTGATCATCGAACCTCTATTCGTCGAACCTCGATCGTCGACCACAGCTCCTCGAATGCTCGACCCTCGATCCTGAACTCTCCGAGCTCGAACCTCGATCTGCGACCAACTCCGCGACAGAGGCGCCAACTGGCGCCCAACAGGGCAGGTCGCCCTGATCGGTTACACGCAAGAGTGACCCTGGGCAAGAGTCACCCGTGGCGCACGGCGTAGAGATCGATCACAGGTCCACATCTCCCTCCTCGGATCGATTGTAGCCCTCCTTGCTGGAGGAGGGAAGGAGGAACGAGGTGGATCTGTACAGGTCCCTTCCTCCAGTTGAGGGGATGCGGGGCGGGGGGGAAGGGTGTGGGAGGGAGGGCAAAACCTAAGCGCACAAGCCGCAGCTATCGCATCGCGTTCAGCGATCGACGGACACGAGTCCCAGACATCTGGAGTTTCGTGGGCACCCCGACCTCTCAACCCCTTCCCGAAGGCCAACTGCTATCCCGCATCGTTTTGTTGACGGTCTCGAGACCCGCCACTCGCCGCGTGCTGTCAAAAGTGCAGACAAACCGGCCGCCCTGATTTTTGCGAGACGCCAGATGCCCGGGATGGGCCCGCACCAGAAGTGCACTCTGGCGAGGGGTCACCCTTCTTGCGTGTAGTCGAAGATCTCCCACCCCAGGAGGTCCCGACCCATTCCCCGGGAATGGTCATCATCCCGAGTCTGTTGTTTACGGCCCTGGGGCCCGCCGACGGCCCCGGGGGCCGAACGGAGCCAACAAAACATCCGTCTTTGACGCCTTCACGACGCGAGGAGGCCTCGTGCTCCACGCGCAGCTCGGGCGTCCGCGGCCGCTCGGGACGACTCGGGCAACCCTGGAGCGCCCTCGGCGAGGCGCAGCTGCTGGGAAGCATTACCATTAAGTAGGGGATTTGGGACGAAAGATTAAAAAAAACTAAAAATACCCCCAACATGCTCAAATCTATTATTTTTTACTATTTTTGAACATTCGACTTAACATTACGGGGCTGGGGAACCTCTGGGAATCTGGAAAACGCCCGAAAACCTTGCGCCGTGTTTTCGCGGCGGAGGGGTCACTCCGGCGAAGGGTCACTCCGACGTGCAGTCGACCTCTGGCGGCGGGCACAGGGGTGCAAGGGGAGGGGGGAAAGCTTCTCAGAAGGAGGCTGCGTCTTAGCAGGCGGTGGCCCTACATCTACAGACAAAGCCCGCGCCTTCTAAGAGGCAGGGGTGTTTCTAAGAAGCCTTCCCCCCACCCCCTGCATCCCTCTGCGCGTGGCCGATTTGCTTTGGCGCTCACCCGCCTGGACCACTCTTTTCCAGCGCAGGCCGCCCTGCGCGATGGGCCCCCTCATGAGCCCCAGACCTGCCCCCCCCCCCCCAGGAGGCCGAGCCGAGGTCCGAGGTCCCGGCAGAGGAAGCGCCCCCCCCCCCCCAAGCCCAGACCCCCCTCGCGTCGCGAAAAAAAGCACGACGGGATGTTTCGCTCGTCGTTGCTGGTGACTCGTGGTGCTCGAGGTGCTCGTGGCTCTCACCGCGCCCCAGGCCCACTGCAGCACCAGACTGCGGTGACTGCAAGTAGTTCTTGCAGAGCGAGCAAGAAGCACAATACATCGTTGCGTTTTGATCCTGAGTCATTCCACCACGGCGTAGCAAAAAAAGCACGACGGGAATTCTGGCTCGTCGTCCTTCGGCTTCGACCTGGGCGCGCGGCCGGGACCTGGGCGCTGGCCACGCCGCGACCCCGCGCCGATGGGCACCGCGGCCAGGCACGGCGGCGGCTGGCCGCCCCACGGGGGGGGGGGGGCGCTCCGCGCCATGCCGACCCAGCGGCAGCAGGCAGGACGGAACCACTGGCGGCGACACGATGGACCATGGCGGGATGGGGCGCGCACGGTCGCCCCAGATACAGAGCAAGGGACGGAGGCAGAGTCGAGGCAACCTCGGCCGATAATGAGCACTCTCGGAGATCTCGGAGTCGGCGGGGCCTGGAGGATGTGCCTCGGGAGCCGCGGCCGCTTCAGAGCGTTCCGGAACACTCCGAGAGCGCTCCGGAGCGCTCTGGAGCGGATTTACTGTCTCGATTCTAGGGCCGCCCGATGGAGGCCTCCTAGATGGGGTCCGAGTAGACGTGGTCAGGGGATTGCACCGCATCGCCGATGCATCGGCGGTGCGGCGCGAGCCTCCGACCACGTCTACTCGGACACCATCTGGGAGGCCTGGACCACAAAGGCATCCTTTTCTGTTCGTTTTTATTGCCAGCGCTATTTTGGCAGGAAGACGAGGATGAGGAGGAGGAGGAGGAGGAGGAGGAGGAGGACAGCTGACGAGAATGAAGGCGCGACGAGAGCCGACAGGCGACGAATGCCGACAGCGACGAGTGCCGACAGAGAAACGCCGCAGAGAGGCTGGCGTCGGGCAGCTGGCCGGCAGCTCGGCAGCAGAGTCTGAGGTTGCCGCGATCCCCCTGGGATAGAGTCCAAAGCCACTTGCGCGACGAAGAGAAGCGTATCTTACGCAAGACGAATAGCGACCATACGCCGCGGCTTACTCAGGCCGACAGCGCCGTAAGCTGCATTAGAAATGTCGGCGCTTACGCGCGGCCTCAGGCGGGCAGCTTCTACACAAGTCGCTCATGCTGCTACAGCCGTAAAGCGGAACGCGCTTGAAGGTGGGGGGGGGCTCGACGCACTCAGCGCCGTCGTCGGCCTTCGAAGCGCAGCCTTCGAGGCCGCCGCGGACGCCGCCACGGTCTGTCCGCACGTTTGGGGGCCCCACAGCCGTTGCGAAAACGGCTCGCTTGGCTCGCTTGCGATTCCAAGCACTAGGATCAAGGGCACGAGCGGAAGCAGCAGGAGCAGGAGGGCGAAGGAGGCGGGATGGGCAGTAGCAGCGGAAGATCGATAGCCAGGAGCAGGATCACGAGCAGGTGCAGGTGCACGAGTGCAAGTGGGAGCAGGAACACAAGTAGGAGGAGAAGGGGAGCGATAGTCAGATTAGCCAGGTCGAACGAATCAGAGGGGCCCACCTGTTCCCACCCTCCCACAACATAAGAATAAATAGCGGCGCAACTTGATGTTGGGATTGAAACGCGTCCGCACCTAGCAAACAGAAAGCGCTCGCGCGCGGCCCCGCTTCCGACGACTTGGCGAAGAGAAAACTGTGCGGGTCGCGCAGGTGCGCAAGCGGCAAAACCTCCGAGGGGCGCGGCGAAGACGAAGCAGGCGCCGCGCTGACACGGCACGGCAGCTTGCACTCACAAGCTGCGCGGCGCTTGGACGAGGTCGGCGTGTCGCCAGCTTTGGCCGCGCGCAGAGGGGGGCAGGGGGAGGGGGAAAGGCTCCTTCGAAGGAGGCTGCTCCCTGGAAGGCGCGGGCCATGCATCTACAGAAGAGGCCCACGCCTTCCGAGAAGCAGGAGTGCGTCCGAGGAGCCTTCCCCCCTCCCCTTCCCCCCCCTATGCGCTTGGCCGACAGCTTCCGCGGCGCCCCGCCGCCGCCGCCGCTTCCGCGCGACGGGCGGCGCACGAGCCGTGCGCCGCGCATCCTCCGCGCGGCGCAGGCCGCCCCTCCGGGGCGCCGTGGCAACACACCGGGAAGCCTCGGGGGCGAGGGCGACGCGCGGCCCCGCGCGCACGGGGCGCGCCGCAGGGAGAGAGCTGGCGCGGGCGAGCTCGGCAGGCGCCGCGCCGAAGCGGCGGGGGGGCACTTTTAAGCTGGTCCTCCTGCTCCTCCTCCTCCCTCCTCCTCCTCCCCTCCTCCTCCTCCTCCTCCTCCTCCGCCTCCTCCTCCTCCTTCCTCCTCCTCCTCCTCCTCCTCCTCCTCCTCCTCCTCTCCTCTCCTCCTCCTCCTCTCCTCCTCCTCCTCCTCCTCCTCCTCCTCCGCCTCCGCCTCCGCCTCCGCCGCCTCCGCCTCCCTCCGCCTCCGCCTCCGCCTCCGCCTCCGCCTCCGCCGCCTCCTCCTCCTCCCTCCCTCCTCCTCCTCCTCCTCCTCCTCCTCCTCCTCCTCCTCCTCCTCCTCCTCCTCCCCTCCTCCTCCTCCTCCTCCTCCTCCTCCTCCTCCTCCTCCTCCTCCTCCTCCTCCTCCGCTTCCTCCTCCTCCTCCTCCTCCTCCTCCCCTCCTCCTCCTCCTCCTCCTCTCCTCCTCCTCCCTCCTCCTCCTCCTCCTCCTCCTCCTCCTCCTCGTCATCCTCCTCTTTCCCCCCTCCAACTTATGGTGGTGGTGGAAAACAAGTCCATGATGGGCGGACCCTGCGCGGCGCCGGGACGAGAGCGGCATTCTCGTCCGCTCGCACGGCAGGGATAACGAATAGCAAGATCGGGGAGACGCGGGGCTCGGATGCGGGGGGCTGGGGTCGGCCTGACGGGGCCGTCATGGAAACGGCGAGGCCCCATCCGGAATTTGACGCGAGCTCCCGCTGCAAAGATCCCGCGAAAACTGGACCGTCAGAATCCAGGGCGCGCTCGTCAAAAAACGTCGGCAAACCCGAGTTCCGGCTCACTCGAGTCAAACGTTTCCCCAGAACAAGAGATGGACTGTGGGCAGGTTGTCGAGTCGTTGAAGGGGAAGCATTCACGCAGCGGCATCCGTCAGGAATAGCAGGAGCAGCGGGGGCAGCCGGATGTGGGGGCGGGACCGGAGGCAGGGGCTGTCACGGCAAGAACGGAGCCAAGCCTACGCATCGAAGGAGGCCACCGTGCAAACGACGAAGACACCCTGTACCCCAAAATGAGGCCCGCACCAAAATACTCGAAGGAAGTTTGGGATCCCCGCGGCGCCCTCTCCAGAAGCTGCGGACGGATCGCAGCTGTTGGCCCGAGGACCCAAGGCCTCGTGGGGGCCCAAGGGGAAAGAGCAGGGTGCAGGGGCGAGGGGCGACGGAGGAGGGAGGAGGACAAAAAGGAGAGCAGGGAGAAGAAGGGGAAGGAGGACGACGAGAGAAACGGAAGGAGGAGAAGAGACGAGAACAAAGGCAGGAGGAGGCAGCGGGGAGTGACACGAGGAAGATGGGGCGCAGGAGCGGGGGGGCGAAGAAAAAGGAGGGGAGACAGGTACGACGCCGACGAGGCAGCCGTTACGGGGCCCCGCCTGACTCCATGAACCCGGCCGCGGACCCGGGTTCGGATGCGTAGCCCTCGTGGTCCTCATCCTCCTCGCCGTCATCCGCCTGGCGCCGCAGCTTCCCCAGACCCCCGACGTCGTGATTTTTTCACAACGTCGACCCCATGAGGTCTGGACCCCTTCCCTGGGAACGGCTTTTCATCCAGAGTCGTTTTCTGACGGTCCCGAGGCCCGGTGAGGGCCCCTGGAGGCCGAAAATAGCAAAAAACCTCCCGTAGTGATTTGTCCACACAGCGAGTGGGTCTGGGTCTGCATCATGAGTCGCCACCACCAACTCGTCATCACCGTCACAGTCATGACCCCAGGTGACCCCAGCACTCCCGCGCCCCGCTGCCGCACCGCGCTGCCCGCGCTCCTCCTGGGCGCCCCCCCCTCCTGCCGCCCTGCGCCCCGAGCCCACGGGGGTCCCTGGTGCACCTGGAGCGGTCACGGCGCGCTCTTTGGTGGCATGCTTGCGTGTGGACACACGCCGCTGGCGGAGATGCGTCCATTACGCCATGACGATAATCCACTGGCCCCCTTGCGGGTCCACCAGGCTGCGAGGGTGAGGATTGCAGCTCCCTGTTCCAGTTGCAGTTTCCAACGCGCGAGGGGGGGGAGCCCCAAACCAGCGTTTTACCACGCCCAGATCGCGTTGTCTGAATTCCTGGGGGGGCGTGGGACACGTAAAAATACATGAGATTCGCGTCCCCGAAGCCATAATCCCGAATCATTTACGCCATATTCGCGGTCGGAGGCCATAAACCTTCGCAAATTCCTCGCAGGATTCGCATCCCCGAAACCATAATCCTTCGTAAATTATACAATATTCACGTCCCGGAAGCCATAAACCCTAGTAAATGTCACACTGCTCGCGCCCCACAAACCATAAACCCATGTAAATTACTAAATACTCGCGTCCCCCAAGCCGCCCTCGAGGCCATGAACCATTTTGCAAAGTATACAAGATTCGCGTCCCCGAAGCCATGCAACCTCGCAAAATATGCAATAGTTGCGTTCCCGAGGTCATAAGCCCTCGAAATTACATGATACTCGCGTCCCCGAAACCATCAACAGTCGTAAATTAAACAATATTCGCGCCCCCGAAGCCATAAACCTTCGAAAATCATACAATTTCTCGCAGTTGTGAGATATTCCGCAGTTTGTGAAGTCCCGACATCGCTTCACGTCAGCGTCCAGACATCCCAACACAGCTCTGGCAAGTCCCATTCTAACAGAGGGAGGCTGGCGGCATGGCAGCGAAGCACCAACGGATAAGAATCACGATTGGTATCAGAATCATGATAGCGATAACGGAAAAATCATAATTGCGATAATGGCCATCACTACGCCATCGTGACGATGATGATGCGAGTACACACCAGCATCGTGGCATCATCGTCGTGAGGTCTCTTGCCGCCTGCCCCCCCTCGGCCTGCGTCCCCCCCCCCGCCCTCCCACCTCCCGAAGGGGGGCAGGGAAGGAGAGGGATAGCGAAAGCTCCTGAAAAATAGAAAGAGAGGAGACGCTGCATGCATACATGTGCACGTGAAAAGGTACTTGAACCTATCTATCTATATATATAGAGATATACATATATATATATATATATGTATGTATATGTGTGTGCATATGTATACATGTATGCACATACACACAAGGATATGCAAAGAAAAAGGGGGAGAATGCGAATATATGAGAAGTGTTTGCAAGTAGGTGCACGTATACATACATACATATGCGTGGGTGCAGGGAATATTGATGCGTATGGCCTCTCGAATGGGTATAGGAATAAAACTGATCCCAAAACAATATCCTTGATCTGAAAACGGAGGTGAGGATCAACGTGGCCCTGGGTCTGCAGAACGCCCAGCAGCGGGAGGAATGACAGCCAGTGCATTCGTCGTGGCCACAATCACCGTCGCCGTCGCTATCCCCGCGCCAGATTCGTTATCGCTATCGTCGTCGCCGCTGGTGGATGCACTGCGGGCTTGGGTTGCGCAGCTCAACAGGAAAGTCGATCGTCATCTTGACGTAACGCGTCACCTCGCTTGCGTTGATACGCGTGGGGCACTCGCTTTTTGATTTTTTCCGCAGCTGGAATCACGCGCGCTTCGCGCGACCGTAGGCTCCAGTCTACCTAAGGCCCTTGCCTTATGCTCATCCAGCGCCTACGCTCCACTTCGCAGTCCCATTCGTGTCACTCCTCCTCGCCCTCCTCCTCACCATTATTCTTCTCTCCCCACTCCTCCCTATACTCATACTCATCCTCCTCGTCGGCTCAAGCCCTCTCTCCCTCCTCTGGCGCTCGTTACAAGCGTAGCTCACGCGCAAGCAAAGACGCAAGAGGGGGAAGCAACCATGGGGACGGAGGGGAGGAGGGACGATAAAGGAGGAGAGGGAAAACAACGGACGCTCCCGCGTCCGCTTGCACGGCAACGCCGCTGGCCCGCCGGTACGCTTCAGAGGTAACACCTTCAAAGGGGACAAGGAGGAGGGACGACGGATCCAGGAGGGTCTTGGCGGTCTTGGAAGAGTCTCGGCGCTGGCTTGCGGCGGTGTACGGCCGTCTTCACCCATCTCGCCCCTGGAATGTGGAACACGGCCCACTGGCCTCTGGGGCGAAAGTCGGTAACAGGGAGCACGGGGTAGTGCTGGAAAGGGGTGGTGCCACTAGGGCCTAGGGCCGGGGGTCGCAGAAGCCAGTTATTTGTGTGCGTGTGTGTATACATATGTGACCGTAGCCCTTTGGCTCAAGCCTGGCTCATGCCATCGCCCTGGCGCGTTCCTTCCTCTGGGGGCGGGGTTCAAGGTTGGCAGGCGTGGCATAGGAGGCGCGGCCCTGCCTGGCCGGCATGGAGACTCGGGCGGCGCGGAGGCGGCAGCAGTGATGTCTCGCCTGGGAGCGCGCAGTGCTCTCTGCCGGCGCCGCGGGCGACTCGGCCGCCGCTGGCGCCAAAGGCGCCGAGGCTGCCGTGCGCGCTGCCAGTGCCGAGTACGTCGCCAGCGCCGCCGACGCCGCAAGCGCCGCGGTCGCCGCTGGCGCCGCCAGTGCCGCCGATGCCGTGGCCGCCGCTGGCGCCGCCGGCGCTGCGGCCGCCTCGAGCGTCTCTGGCGCTGCTGGTGTCGTTGCTGCTGCCGCCGGGGCTGTGCGCGCTGCGGCCGCAGCAGGCGCCGCTGGCGCCGCCGGCGCCGCCGGCGCCGGGGGCCGCGAGGACGCCGCCGCACACGCTGCTGGCGCCCGGTGTGCTGCGGGCGCCGCACGGGATGCCGCCGAGGCCGCCGCCGCGGCAGCTGCCGCTAGCCTGTGGGCCGCGGCGGCCGCCCTCTCCCGCGCGGCGGCCGCCGCCGCCGCGGCGGTGACGGTGCCGGGCGGGCCGCCTGGCCTGGCGCTGGCCAGCGCCACCAGCCCCGCCGTGGCAGCAGAGCAGGAGCACCGACGCCAGCATCCTCGCCAGCCCAGCGTGGAGCAACGACGTCAGCCTCCCCGCCTGCTCGGCACGGAACGCCGACGCCAGAAGCTTCCCCAGCGCAACCAGGAGCACCGACGCCACCAAACCAGCCAGCGCTGCCGAGCCCCACGGAGCATCTTACCCAGGGTGCGACGATGCCTGCAGAAGAGGGCGCAGCCCCAATCCGCAGACCTTGCACCGATTAGGTGCGCCGCCAGGCCCGGAAGGGAGGTGGGAGGTGGAGGCGACGTGCACCACGGAGGCCCTCCGTGCGACACAAAGCACCTTACCCTGGGTGCGACAATGTCCGCGGGGAGGGCGCAGCTCCACCCCTCAGATCCTGCACCGAACAGGTGCGTACCCAAACTGGAAGGGAAGGGGGGGCTCCGTGCGCCACGGAGCACCGTACCCAGGGTGCGACGATGTCCACAGGGAAGGCTCAGCCCCATCTCACTGGCTTTGCACCGATTAGATGCGCTTTTGGACCCAAGGCTGAAGGGGGAGGGGGCGGGGAAGGGCACCATCGACGCCCCCGTGCGACCCGGAACACCACACCCTGGGCGTGACGATGTCTGCAGAGAGGGCTCAGCCCCACTCCACCGACTTCATAACGATTAGGTGCGCTGCACTCGCTTCCTCGCCGCCACGGCTGGACTCTCGGAGCGTCGGAGAGCAGGGGGGCGGAAGAACGGGGGAGCCTGGACATCCTTCGTCGCCGCGGCCAGAAAGCGCAACCCAGCAGCACAATCGCGAGCAGCGCGACGAACCCGAGTCGCAGCCTCGGGAGCAGCACTGACACCTTGAACCCAGACCTGAAACTGCTGAAAGGACTGGGGAACCCAGCGGCGCCTCACCAGGGCCCCGCTCACTCAGAAGCGGATCTAGTGAGGGCGCCAAACAGGAAGTCACCACAAGAAACGGCGCCCCAAGGCACGGGGCTGGTGCAAGCAACGTGGCTCAGCCAACGCGCGAGGTGCCCGCGGCTGCGGGTCCTACCCCCTGCGACCCCAGGCTCACCAATGAAGGCGGCGCGCAGCATCAGCCAGACGCCCAAGCAGCGTACGGAACCAGGCAGTGGGACAGGGCTGCGGGGACGACCGATCCTCTTGGCTCGACCGCAGACGCCGCACTGATTCGCCCCCTGGTTCCTGGGCTCGAGTATTGGACACGGATTGCCAAGTCCACGCATTCCTCCCTGATGCAGCCGTCTGAAACGAAAGCGGCCCCGCAACGGCCCTGGTCCAAAGCGACGACGCCGATGCCTACCCCGACAACGACGCCGACGCCGACCCCACCGCCAGCGCGCGTCCAAAATGTCCCTCGTCGCCACGGACGGAAAGCGGAGCCCAGACGGCCAGGGTGACAGACGACGACGCCAATGCCTACCCCGACACCGACGTCGACGCCGACGCCGACGCCGACGCCGACGACGACGACGACAACGCCCACGTCCTGGATATCTCTCGTCGCCATGGCTTGAAAGCGGATACCAACAGTACCATCGTGAGAAACGGAACCCAGCAGCACAATCCAGTCGGGGCGGTGCGTCCCGCTGGGTCAGCGGCGGTAGCGGACGACTGGGACACTGCCGACAAGCATCAGCACGGGAACCCACCGCCCGCCCCCGAGGCTCCTCGCTCTTCCCCCGCAACGACGGACGCTGGCGGCTCCAGCACCGCGAGCTGCCCCAGCGCCAGTCTGCGAAGGGAGACACCTCCGCCTGCACGGCGTGAGCTCCTGCTCCTCGTCACAGACACCTGGACCGCTTTGCCAGACACCCGCACCCTCTGGGATTCGTTCACCTCGGACCAGAGGAAGCAGGGCACGGGGCGGGCGCGTCCTGACGATGTCCCAGCACGCGTCCTGCTCGAGTTCCTCAACTCGAAGGGAGCCCTGGCGGCCTGGGTCAGGAAGATGCAGCAAGCAGGCGGTGCCCGCGACCCCAGCCGGCACGACGCCACTTCCCTGCGCTGCTCCCTCCGCCACGCCTCGTCACCCCTGCGCTTCCACTTGCAGGATGCAGCACAACACCTTCCTGCACCGACTAGGTGCCCCGACCTGGCCCACCATGTCCACCAGGGCAGTGAAGGCCACCGGCTTCAGCCACAGTTTTGACTGGCCACAGAGCGCCGCTTGCTGCCCACCCCAGCGGCGAGCGGCCGCCTTGGCCCTCCTCTTGGCCCATCCCGTCCACCCGGGCAGTGGGGGCCGCCCTCCCCCCCTCCGCGCGCCGCCACGGTGCCTGGGCCGCTGCCTGCAGCCGCCTCGCGTTCGGGATCCTGGGCTTGGTCTTGCCGCCAGATCCCCCACGTTGATCCACCATTCTGCTGGGTGCGGTCCAATCTGGCCGCACCGTGTCCGGCGCCCCCACCTGGGCGGCGCGCGGTCCGCCGGCCCTGCACCTCGTGCTCTACGTCGGCGACCCGTTGTTTCGTCTGCCTGCAGTACCCGCACTGGGCCCTGCCTCAGCAGGTGCTCCGGAGCAGCAGCCGCCTCAGCTCACCCAGGGATGTGATCCGTACCCCCGCCTTGCCTCCCCCCCTCTGCGGCCGCCTGCCTGCCCCGTGTCCCATCTCTTGCAGGCTTGCCAATTCGCTACAGCGGTGCCCCGCTTCGTTAGATCCATCCGCCATCGCCAGCGCAAACGACCCGTGCCCAGCCGCCGACGCAAGAGAATATGTATATATATATATATATACATACATACATACATACATACATACATACATACATACATACATGCATGCATGCATGCATGCATGCATGCATGCATACATACATACATACATACATACATACATACATACATACATACATACATACATACATACATACATACATACATACATACGTATGTCCAAAATTAAGGACAACATGACCTGACGGTCGGAAGAAGTGGGTAGAACCATGAAGCAGGAACGAGGTGAAAATAGATTGGCCTTCCGCCCGCCCCCTGAGCAGGAGGGAAGATAGAAGACCACTCGACTCTAGAAGTAGCAAGGCGCCTAAAGTACATTAGGATTTGGGCATCCAAACAGACCTACTTCCGATGACCGACGTGTGAGGCCCCCCGACGCATCGAGCCTAACTGTCGCCCCACGAACGACAGCGGAGAGGAAATGAAGCCCGGACCTTTTCATCAGCCCGGAGCAAGTAGTACAGAATGACTGGGAGATGGTTGGATGAAAGAGCATGGGAAAGAGTAAGTGGTGTGGGCCTTGAGCCAAAATGGTCACGCCGTCGCACTCGGCGCATCACCACCTTCCTGTTGCTTCTGGAGTTGCCCCTGGGAATCGATTATGCTGCAGCCCTTCTTTCCGGGGCAAGAACCCCGACCTCCAACGTCCCCGCGCCCTACAACTCTGAACCACTTCCCCAGAGACCACCGCTCTCTGCCCCAGATCCACCTCCTAGGCGTCGGCGAAAGGGCACGAGCCCCAGGATCAACAAAAAATTCGCCGGCCCAACGGGCCAGAGGCGTGCTAAGATCTCCGGCAACTTGTTAACAATATTTCTAGTTCGCGCGCGCGGAGCGGCCCCTGGGGGCCCCCGGACGAAAAGTACCCCGGCAAGGTCCCGAGAGAAGCCCGGGAGAAGCCCCCAGACCACTCCAGGGGAGGGTATTTTTCGACACCCCTCACAAGGATCGTGGCCTCCGAGGGGGGAGCCGCAATCGACTACCCCCAAGAGCCCCCCAAGAGGCCCTGGGGGCCTCCAAAACGCCGCCAAGGAGCCCCAAGAGACTCCCAAGAGGTCCCCAAGAGGCCCCCAAGAGGCCCTAAAGAGGGCTCCAGGGCCGGCGGCATGAGCGAAGCGATTAAATAAAACCAAAAACAATAACAAAACCAGAAAAATAAAACAAAAAACCCAGTTCGGGAATCGAAGCAAAACAAAAAACCTTTCAGGGTCAAGATGGGACAGAGAAGGGACCCCGACCTCTGACGTATAGGGGTCCCAGCCGCCCGAGACATCCTCGGAAAACGACCCGAGTCCCAGAACCGTGCGGTGACCCCGAGCCCCTGCAGACTCACAACACGGTGTGGTCACGGCACCGTTCAGGGGTGCCCCGGAAACGCCCCCGCGCCTGAAAACTCTCCACCACCGCCCAAGAGACCACCGCTCTCTGCCCCAGATCCCCGCGCGGCGGACCTCGGGCCCGGACACGGTCGCTTTCTGGAGGCCGACGGCCGCGGGGAACCTCCGCCCCCGACAGCCCCGGCACGCTGCCACGAGAGTCGGGCGGGGGCGCGCGGTCCTGCTGGGCGTCGCCCGCGCGCTGGCGCTCGACCTCCCGGGGGGGGGGGGGCGGCGCCCCGGTGCCACAAGCCGTACCGCGGGTGCCCTCCACCTCCTCCTCGGCCTGCGCGGCGGTGCCTCGACGGGGCGCCGTGCTTTCCTCGGCCATGGCCCGTGCTGCCCTGCCCTGGGGGGCGCTCTTTAAGTCGCAGCGCGGCAGGGGCGTTCCGCTCGCGCGTCCGGGAGGGGAGGGGACGAAACGTAAGCGACGAGGAAAGGACACGCAAGCTGGGCCAACGAAGAGGTGGCCCCTGGCGGTTTCTGTAGCGATCTTCGCCAGACAGCAAAGGAAGGGGAAGACAAGAAGGAAAGGGCAGCGCAAGGAAGGCAGGGACAGCAACATGAATGAAATGAAAATGACGAACGACGACGACGACGACGACGACGACGACGACGACGACGACGACGACGACGACGTCAGCGGCGGCGCCAGCGGCGGCGGCGACGGCAACGGCTACGGCGGCGACGGCAACGGCGACGGCGACGACGGCGACGGCGACGACGGCGACGGCGACAGCGGACCACGGACGACGGACGAAGGCAAAGCGACAACAATGACGACGACGACGACGACGACGACGACGACGACGACGATAACGACGACGACGACGACGACGACGACGACGACGACGACGACGATAACGACGACGACGACGACGACGACGACGACGACGACGACGACGACGACGAAGGAAGACCAAAGAGGAGGAGGTTGACGACGGCAAACGGGGAGGCCCGCGCGGTGCCGCCCGTCCTCCCCCCCCTCCCCGGGCCTGGCCGTCGACGCAATGCGACTCGCACTCCGGGGACATGGCCTCCCCCCGTCCCACAGACGCGCGGGAGTCTCAACAGCTGATGCGGCGATGCCCCGTGCCATTAGCAAGGGACGCGAAATCCAGTCGGGGCAAGCCCAGCCTGAGGCCGAGCATTCCGCGCGGGCACCCTCCGCATAGACACTCTCGGCGTCCGCGAGCGAGACCGAAACAACCGCCTCCGGGAAAGAGACGCCGCCCCTGTATCAAAGCGGGGCATGCCTGGCGCCCGGCAGCGCGCGGACCGCTCTCAACGGACTGTGCCGAACTCGACCCAGACACTGGCACCTGGAAGAACTCAAGCACGCCGGCCGCTCTGTCATTCCGTCCCTGACCTCTGGATGCGAGTTTCGGCACTAGAGACCGTCGAGTCAGGACGGCTCGGGCAAAAAGCAAATATGCTGTGGCTGTCGCCGCTTGTTCTCCAGTGATAGCCATGACAAGTCATTGAGCGGACGAGTTCACGCGTTCTGAAATGACTTCACGTACGCACGTTTCCTCCATCAAAGGTGGCACTATCCCCGAATGTGTGATTGTCGTGTTGCGCTCAGCAGATCCTGATATCATTCCTGGCCTCGCGATCTTATCGACTCCGAGTGCCCCCTTAGACACGCTCTCAGTCCTCCTCGTGAGTTGCGCTGAACAAACATGCGATTTTCCTCCTCCGCTGTCTCCCCATCCTCATGATCGCCCACCCTTCCCACACCGCCCTCGTCGCCATCATGCTTGCGCGCGTGGCCACGGAGAAGTTCCCCCACATGTCTCAGAAAATCACCATCGTCGTTATCCTTCCCCCCCTCCTCCTCCCCCTCCTCCTCCCCACCCACCCCTCGCACGTGGCCACGCGCCACAGTCCCGTCTATCGGCCCGAGCCCGCGCGCGCGCAAGCAGCACCCTCGCGCGGGGCATCGAAGAGTTAGCGGCCGAAACAGACACGGGATAGGGCGGGTAACAAAGGGCGCGGAGATTCAAGAACAACATGTGAGCATGTGAGCACAACCAGGGACGGACAGGGAAGCGCAGGTGGGAAGAAAGACACCAAAGCGGCAGACGGGACATGCATGGACGTCGCTGGAGAGAGCCTGCCGCAACAGGGCGAGGAAAAGAGGGCACCGCCAGTAGTGCTGAAAAGAATCAGAGGCTGGACAGCCTAGCACCCATGTTAATCTACGATTGCCATCCTCAACGAGGTAAAACAATTGCCAGAGAGGGTCTTCCACGCGCCACAGGCGAGAGGACCACGCATCCTTTGGACGAGCGAGCGGGCCTCTTCCCAGTCGACAAAGTCAAGGGCCCAGGCGGACTCAGGAAACCACGAAGCAAGTCGGCGGCAGAAGGTAGCACCCAGATCGTCAGAAAAAGTTCACGCTGGAAAGCACGGACAAGACGGGCCTGCAATTTTATTCGCTTAGGAGGGCGAGGGCTCTCAGAAGCGACAGCGAGAAGCCCCTGGGCGACGTCCAGAGCGATCGATCCAGCTCGAGCAAGATGAGCTCGAGGAAGGATACCCAACTGCAGCCTGACCTAGATACTCAACAAAGGCAGGGATGACCCAGAAGGCGGGAGAAGATCGGCCAGCACGAGGATTCACAATCGGGAGGTGCTCTGCCGCAAACTCTCTGGGGCCATCTAAAATCGAGGCGCGTTCTGGACACGCATGGATGGCGGCTCGCATCAAACAAGCCGAGCTCATCGCTTGGATGCCCGTCAGTCGGGGTCCACCCCTTTGTCCGATATTGAACCAACCAGCGCGAGAAATAGCACAATGTGGGACGTTGAAGAGAGACGCGAAGATCGAGTGCTCGACGCGGGCAGCGGGAGCAGGCTGAGCGGGGCAGGCGTCGGGGAATGGAGAGAATTGGGCAACGTAGGACAACGTGGCCAAAGCACGGCTAGTGCAAAGATACTCAGCGATGGTGGACGGAAAGCCTACGTTTGAAATCATAGATAGCACTACGGGGGGCCCATTTAGTAAGCGGCTTGCCCCAGCTATCTGCGCTGACAGCTGGCCCAAGCAGCCGGCCGAGATATTTCAACGAAGCCGCGATCGGGAAACAACCCCAGTCGGGGAGATGGCTCGAAGCCGCGCCCGACACTGGGCAACGAGGGACGGGGGGAACTCCCCCGCAAGCAGGACTAGAAAGCAGTTGGCTCGCTTCAACTCGAGATGGGCAAGGGCCTCACTGCAACCAAAAACGGCTTTCAGAAGATGTAGTTCACGAATCGAGGAGACCACCGCCCCGACGTCGTCCGCACACGCTCTCGCCAGACTCAGGCATCGTCGCTCAATGGTGGACTGCAATCGACATTGCATCGCAAACGGGGGCGCGTCGGCACGTAGCTCAAGGCGGCGACGCAGATCGACCAGGAAGGTGTGACAGCCGATGGCGAACAGCGCTCCTGGACCAGGGCAACCCTGGATGATGCCAGCAAGAATGTCGAAGACATACTCACAAACACGTCCATTCGTAGCGTAGCACCGAACGTTCGAGTAAAGATGTTCAACAAAGACCAGCAGCGGCGCGGTTACCATGAACGCGGCGAGGGCCACGAAGATCGATGCGCGCGCCAACGATGGGAAGGCTTGGCCATAGTCGAACGGAGTAATACTGGGAGCCGATGGCCTGCATCAGGTAACATAGAGACCATACGGCTGCGAGCATCCAGTTCAAAAATATGGAATCAAAAATTACGACATTGAACGACCCCGCGCTGAGAGACACAAGCGCATGTTTTGGGGAGCTTGCTGACACCTTCAAACACCGTCAGGTAATGATCTTGTCGGAAGACTGTCCGAGGCAAAGGGGGCGGGTCTGGTCAGGGGTCCTGGTAATCATATGAGCGTCCCCCTCCTCCTCTTCGGCAAGAAATACACCGCGAACGCTGTTGTAGGACGGGGGCATAGGTTTCCCACGGAGTTGCCACCATACCACAGCGCCCAGGATAGGGAGAGCCCGAGCGCGCCTCTTCAAAGCCCTGCAGGGGAGACCATCGAGTTCAGGGGCATCATCTTCAACACGTTCGAAACGACGCTCAAGGAGACGCGGAGAAGGGGGGGGATCATCAGAAAGATCATCACCGTCAGCACTGAGACGAACATATTCCTGAGTGGCGGATATATTGATATCTCTCTATAGATTGATATCTCTCTTCTCAAAGACTGGCCTCGCATGGCCAGCTAAAATCTGCAGCGCGGCAGTAGGTGCCGCGACAACTGCGCCCCCCGCAGATGTCTTGACACCCTGCATAGACATCTTCCTATCGAAAGGTGCCCAGGGGCGGCTTCGGCGAATCGCGGCTTTCAACTGTCGGCGAGCTTTGGTCCTAATCATCTCATCGGTCGCTTTCGAGATCGCCTTGCGGAGTTTGCCTTCTTCCTGGATCGCCATCGTCGCACGAATCAAATTCGAGCGCCTCTGGAACTCAATCGAATCCGTCAGCTCCCCTGTCCCGGCCAGTGGATCGATCTGAAGAGAGAGCCTGCCCAGCTCGCGCGAACGTCTAATTCTCTCGGCATACTTCAGGTCTTGCCCCCAGATCGCTCGACCGATAGCTTCGGCAATCATCAACCAAGTAAAAGGTGCCCCAGGGGGGCCGATAATCAAACTGTCTCGGGCGCTCTTGGCAGCCTCGCGCATCATCCCAGTATGAAAACGCAAATGAAGAGGAGGGGCGCGCGAGTTCAAGCCACAGTTGGCGCCGATGGCTTCCGAAAACTCACGGCAGGCCAGGCGACCACAAACCTCTGGCGGAATAAGGCGCCCAGAAACAGGAACCTGACCCCTGGAGAAAACGCGACCTGAACAGGCGCATGGTCAGAAACCCCTCTCTCGATGAGAAGCTCATTCGATTCCACCATCTCTCCTGCAATAGAATATTGAAGACAGAGCCAGCCAGGAAGAAATAAATTGCCAACCGACGCGGCTGAGAAATCGCTTCGCGGCGAAGTGGTGCGCGGGCCCCCCGACCTCCAACTCCGCCATCCTACTCAATTCTCTCGTGGAAAATTTACTCCCGTCGAGTCATCCAGTCTTGAATAAAACGGCGGGAAGCTTCGTCAACCACGGCAGCGGGCCCCTCGCACGGCGGCTTGCATGCAAAATGAAAATATCCGCCGTTGATGACCCGGACTCGAGTGGGGCGAGCAAGGGAGAACTCGGTCGTTAGCGAAGGAGGTCATGATGCTCGTCTTCTCGTCATTACTCAGCCCATGTTTATGGATACTGCAACGTTTCATCTTCGCGTCGTCGTCGAAGGCAAGGGCCGCGAGGAGGACAAGGAACGAGTTCGGCAACGTTAGAGCGGGGAGCACGCTCCCCGAGGCGACTAAAACTGGGGAAGAAAGCGACAACACATCCAGCCTGGGAGCTTGAACAGAAAGAGGAGTAGGCCGTGTACTTAAGGTGAGACTGGTAGAGAAAGTCCTGGACCTCCAGCCCGGTGCCATGGCTCTCATGGAAAGCCACAGTGGAGCCAGATGGACGGAGCAACTTATTCAAAAGGGCGAGTTTGGGTTCACGGAGGGCAGGGTCACGACGAAATAAAGCTCCGGCGTACCAGGTGGTCAGTAGAAGGGCCATTGCGATTGATGCGCCTCGTGCCAGTGGCACAGCAGGTTGCTAAAGAGACCTCTGGGGCAACGCTGCCGG